AAAAAAGCCGCAAATGGTCATCGATAGTATTATAGATTTTGACGGTATTGACAGTCACAAGTAATGGTATAGATTCCTGACATTTGATCATGTCCATTGAGACTGAGCGCCTTGTTCATGAGTTCCAAAATGAGTTGACACCATATTGTTGCAGCCGTGCAATGGTTGTTCGACCCGAAAGCGCTGCTAGCGTAATTCAACCAGGGGCAGCGACAGTTGCTGTTGGAGGTCCTGCTCAATATATAGCCCAACCTAGTCCACGCCAAGGTATGTTTGAGCTAAGGCCCGTAGCTATCTTAAACTCATATGAATTCTTTCAGGCGATGTAATGCCGAGTGAAATCGATGACTCCGAAGGAATTTGGGCGTAGATATTTCATCATGGGTTTTGGTTGTATCATCTGTCTTATCATACTGCATTTGTTCTCAGTCAAATCTTCAGAAATCTAAAATGCTAGTCGTTTTTTTGTCTCAATCTTCTAGGAACTGCTGCAATTCTTGTTTTAAACACACATGGTACTGCCACGCACGCTTTCTCTTATATTGGCCTTTTGTCCACCTATCTGCCCATTCATATGTCACCTCTCTTCCATCCATTTTTCGCATTTACTGCGATATTTTGTGCTCGTGCAGCATTACCTGGTGGGATCAAATCCTAGAAATATCACATGCACTTACAGTATTACCCAAACTATCGGTTGATTTTACACTTCGCCCTTCACTTTACCCATTTTCCAGTTGTTTTTTGGATGTCTTTCTGCAATATGATCACAACTTGAACCTCACTTTCTTTAGCATAATATTTTATCAGAATGAACGATATGATTGAAACAAAGATACCTGTAATAGATCACTATATTCTCTCAAAAACTCTAGCTGACAATAGCTGCTAACACAAGCAGTCCTATGATACTGTACGAAACCGCAGACTTTGCCAAGAATGGATAGAAAAAGTCATTTGGCAGACGTAAGTCGATGTAAGGTAGAGCAGCGAAACGATAGGATGGAGCTGGAAAGCAAATAATAAGGGTGTGTGAGCGTTACGGAATGATCTCTTATTCATTATTCAAAAGGATCTATCAAATGATATCTCCATTAGTGAAATTACGGTTTACGTCATCGCTAACTGAAAAGAAATTGATGTTAGGTTTAGCTGGTCATTTATAACAAGATTACCAAAGGCAAGTTCAAAGTTTTCATGTTTCCTTCTATTAGGTCTGCAACTTACCTCTTCAAAGTTTCATCTTCATAGTACATGACGTGCGAAAGCGTCAGAGATTAACGTTTGTACCTTTATTCGAAATGTGGTTGAAGATGGGCTATTATGGAAATGTTCGAGGTTGAACTTAGGGATTTTTTGACAGTTCGAGCGCTCTCAAGACAGTTTGGCGGATATGGGGCAGAGACGTAAGATTGAGTTTTTATATATGAATGTCCACACCGAAATAAGGCAAATCCTCTGTCAAATGTCGCAAACCCTCAACGTCAGCAGAGTATATAAAGTAGTTTGGCCTTTTCCCAAAGAATCTCTTATTTTTTGTCGAAGAAAACAGTGATCTTAAAAATGACAATATCTAGACTTTGTTTATCTTTTCATTAAGTTTGTTTTTGGAATAACGGGTAGGTTTAGCAGAAATCAACTGTAAGGAATGTGGATGTTTACAGGGATTGGAAATTGTTCAAGGTCTAGAAACCGCGAAGAATAGATTGCGGGAAAAGGAAACTTAGATGCTTTCACTGACAAAAGCGAAATCTAGTTAATACTACTTTTTGTGCAAAACTTCAATTCTCTTGATGAGCAGTAAAACTTACCAGGAGTCACATCTTTGAATCGCACGGCAAAACGAAGACTTATTGTTGTGTCTGCTGTCAGCGTGACCTGAACAAAACAAGAAATCATAT